TTTTTTTTTGCTTGAAATGTTATTAAACAATTTTTTATTCTTAATAAAATTTTGTTAATATATAATAACGATATAATTTTCAGAATACATACTAAATAATAAATGAAGTAACTTTATTAACAAAATATAAATTATTTTTATTGAAGTCGAATAACAAATAATTACAATAATAATAGCAAATAATAAATAATTTATTTCGTAAAATACTATATAATAACGAATATATTTAATTGTAAATATACTTATTTATTTTTCGAAATACTTCATAAAATATTCATTTCAAAAATAAATTGTTATTCAAATGATTTTAAAAAGTAATTTCTACAAGCAAATCTGAATTTTAAAAAATTTTCAAATTATATTATTTCATTGCATTATTTTTTAAATTATTTGAGAAACAATTTATTTTCTAAATAACACAAATATTTTATAATGTATTTCATATAAAAATAAATGAATGTATTTACAATTAAATAATCAATTTATAAAATAAATTATTTATTATTTAATCTTATTTAATCAAGTATATATTTTTTTAATATGTAGCGTTAAAAATTTACATTATTATTGTTTTCTAACTAATACTATTATATGTTTACAGTTATTATTACATTTTTTATTTAATATTCATTCTATATTAATATAGAATATTAATATAGAATATTATATTAATATAGAAATTAATATAAATATTAATGATGTTTATAAATGAACAAGAAATTAGATATTTAAGTGTTAATAAAATGAAATATTAATAAAGTTTTAATAATAATAAAAAAGTACTTTTTGTTTATCTTCTATTGTCTTATAATATTTCATTTCAAAAGTAATTAATATAACTAATATAAATAAAATAATTATTTTATATATATTATTTTATACTCATTTTTTTTTATACTTATTAAATTAAAAATATAATTTTATGAAAAATATATTTAAACTGTTATTAAAATATATTTAAACTAAAATTTAAAATTATAAACTTTTAAACTAATTTTAAAATTGTATGTTTTTTTATTTAATTCTTGAATCTAGATTTAAGACATCTAGAATCTTTTTCTTTATGTTTCATATACAATGAGAATTAAAAATATATTTTAAAAATGGAGAATTTATTTGATAAATAATTGAAAAAATATAAACTATATATAAATATAAATTAATAACAAAAAATAGACAATTTCAAATCATATATTTAAAATTGCATATTTACATTTAAATGTTAAATAAATATTATTTGCAATGTATACTCATTTTTTACTTCCATTATATATATAATAGATTTATATAAAATAGAATATATAAAATTTTTATATTAAATATAGTTTCAAAAATAAACAAAATATTTCAGATTTATATATATATGTAACTGATAAATTAAAAATTAAATATGTTATTCAGGCTCTTTTTTCCATGTAATTCTACATGTGAAAATAAGAAAAAAATATAGAATAAACTTGTTTCGTTTAAAAATTAAGTTTTCAAAAAAATTAAATTTGAAAATTTGCTAATTATGAATTCATAATGATATATGTTCAATTTTTTCTAAAACAGAAATTTATAACAACTTACAAAAATTTATAACTTTTCAACAAAAAAACTCTTTGAGTATTTAAGTAATAAAACTTAAATAATAAAATTTTATTATATATTTTTATTCATTTTTATATAAAATGATTTTATATTTGATTCATTCATATTTAATCGGAATCTAATTTTACTTGAAAATTTTTCAAATAAAACTTGATTTCCATAATTCGAATAAAAATTTTATTCTTTCTTTTTGATTTATTTTTTTATAATATATTGTAGCACGAATAATATGTGGATATCCCATATAGACATACATATATTCATATATTCATTATTAATTAATTATTAATAATTAAAAAAGTAAAAAAAAAATTAAAAATATGAAATATCATTTAGAGATACTCTAGATTTTTATAATATAATATAAAAAAAAATCATTAGAAAATAATAATAAACTATTTTTTAGTATTAACTAAATAAAACGTCACATTAAAGACATTTTACAAATTGCATATAAAAATAATAAATCATTAATAAACTTTTCCATTCACAAAAATATCAATTGCATTCATCAAATACTATAAAACAATCTAATAATTTATATGATATCTATCGATCTTCGACAAAAATCGCATTAAAAATGAAAAAAATTGGGAAAAAGTAGCAACATTGGTCCATGCTCATAAATACGTACATATAGATAAGATCACATAAGATGGTGGTGGATGAAGGCGAAATCTCGTGGTGCCAAGTTCCCAGGAGAATAGAGCGCGAGAAGGAAAGAATAACATGGCCAAAGTGGTTGAACAAAGACAGAAGAAAGGGACTTGCTCCAGGCCCCACTTCTTTCTCTTAGGAGTTCCACCAGGTCCCACATTACGTGGACATAAAAGGTAACCCCGGCACGGAGACGGTCTCTCTGACACATTGACACAGCCTCTGAACCACCGGCTGTGCTGTGCTTCCCTCCTTCCTATATATTTCTTGAGATTCTCGTTTTTCTTTGGCCGAGATCATCCGCTCTCTCTCTCTTTCGTTTCCGTTCAGCCACTTCTCTCCTCGATTCGATATCGTTGTTATCCGCCGATCTCTGTCGACTCGCTGCTTTTTTGAACCGCAAAATCGCCAAAAGAATAAGAGTATGCTATATAGTACATAATCCAACAATGGTATTATGAGATTTTTTTATTTTGAGGGAGTCGAAGGGTTGAAAAATCATGAATCAGAAAATAAAAGAAAAATGAAAATTCCAGAATGAAGGATTATTCGTTTAAGAGCAATGTTAGCAGAAGTGAAAAAAACTTTTTTTAAAGTTTTTCAAACTGAAAGTATTGAAAATAGTAATTGGAAAAATTTCATTTAAATATGATATTTAAAAATTTTATTTTATTTTAGAATTATATGTAAGTATAAATATATAAAGAATTTTTGAGAATAAATGATCGTTCAGTTGGAAGTAATGCTAAGTATATTTCAAACTGGAAGATTGGAAACAGTAAAAAAAAAATTTTATTTAAATATGTATTGATATTTAATAGTTATATAGATAACAAAAATATTTAATTGAAACATACAAATTAAATTATTATTTTATAATAATGAAATGTTTAATTAACAACAATTATTTAATTGTATTTTAAATCTTATTATAGAAAATTTTATATATAAAAAACCAATAAAGATAAAATG